ATAAACATAGTGGGAAAAAGAAAAGAAAAATGATTATGATTTGTACACATTTTTTACCATACTATTTTGTTTACCAATAGTATAAAAATCACGACTAATGATTGTGTTTTCACTGAACACACATTTCTTTAAAGTAAATTCAGTTATCTGCTGCTGCTAAAGATTCAACGGATGAAGGACTTTAAAATAGAATTATTCAAATACCAGCATAAACAGACCTTTTCCACCAAGTTGAGATTGTGTGGAAGACTGATTTCACATTAAATGCATTTAAAATGAAAATGGTTACAAGAATATATAATAAAAATTAACCAATAATAAGATATTAAAAAGGAAATAAATATGCTTTTTGTTTCATATGGAAACAACTAGAAAAATTGTACTTATGAAATTACTTTATATGAAAAAAGTTAACGATTACAAATGGATAAAAAGACAAAACTTACAATCATGAACACTTACTTATATCAGCAGTGCATTCTATATGGAGCTAAGTCTTAAATAAAGACGTGCTGTGTGTGCAAGGCACGTCTGCAACTAGAAAACAATTTTTTTATGACATATCTATTTAAAATAAAAATGGTTATAAGAATATATAATAAAAATTAGTCAATTCTAAAATATTAATAAGAAAATTAAAAAAATAAATATGCTTTTTGTTTAATATGGAAACAACTAGAAGAATTATATACTTATGAAATAATTTTATATGAAAAAAATTAATGATTACAATTGGATAAAAAGACAAAACTTACAATCATGAACACTTACTTATATCAGCAGTGCATTCTACGTATATGGAGCTAAGTCTTAAATATAGACGTGCTGTGTGTGCAAGGCACGTCTGCAACTAGAAAACAATTTTTTTTTATGACATATCTATTTAAAAAGTTTAAACACAATAGAACTACATCGATCTAATTATATATATAATCCAACCAATTTATTTTTGAGTTAGTTAGATTGAGAATCTCATTGTACATATTAATTCTATGAACTGCCGCAGTGTTTATTCAACCAGTACTTCATGATAAGCTTATGTGAAGCAAAAAATTTAAACATATCTTCTTGAAATTTATCAACTTTATTTAAAAAAATTATTATTTTAAAAAAATCTCCTTAATTTCCCACAATGGCAATTAGAATATTTAATAACTGGTGTTGAAAATATTTACAAAAGTTATAAGGGATTCAGATTTACCTCATAACAAATAATTATTCCTTACTAATAGCAATATATTTTTATCAAAAAATGTTTTCTTTTTTTATAAAGTATGAATTGTTAGCAATTATTGAGGGTTGCAAGAAAAAGAATTTTAAGGCTAGTCAGCAATAACAACCATGTAGTGAAACACTGTTATACAGCACAATAGTTATAAGATTTTCAAGTATGTGTAGTGTAAAAAAGAAAATGTGTAAAATGTTGTTAAGGTTTCTTAATTACTTTCATTGTAAGTTATTTTCTACCAAGCTAAGATTGAGTGAGACTGATTTCACACTAAATGCACTTAAAAAAAATGGTAATAAAAATATACAATAAAAATTAGCAAATTTTAAAATATTTATAAGATAAAAAAAATAAATAAACATGCTAACAGATAAGATAAAAATAAAAAATAAACACGCTTTTTGTTCAATAAGGAAACTAGAAAAATTTTATACTTAAATTATTTTATATGAAATAATTTTACAATTACAAATGGATAAAAAGAGAAAATTTGAAATCATAAACACTTACTTATATCAGCAGTGCATTCTATATGGAACTGAGTCTTAAAGACGTGCTGTGTGTGCAAGGCACGTCTGCAACTGGAAAACAAGTTTTTTATAACATATCTATTTAACAAATTTAGACACAGTAGAACCACATCTATCTAATTTTATATATAATCCAACCAATTTATTTTTAAGTTTGTTTAATAGAAAATTTCATTGTATAAGAAAATTTTTTTATGCACTGCTAAAGAGTTTTTCAATCAGCACTTCATGAAAAAGCGTATGTGTAGCAAAAAATTTAAACATCTCTCCTTAAAATTTATCAACTTTATTTACAAGAATGATATTTAAAAAAGCTTGTTCATTTTATTAGAATATGTAATAATCAATGTTTAGAACATTTACCAAAATTATAAGGGATTCAGATTTACTTCACAATGTTTAACAAATTAAATGAATTTAATTCAATATAATATTTATTTAAATTTGTTACAATATTTAATTAGATAAATCTAAGTACAATATTTATTAAGTTTTACCTTAACCTATATAGAAAGTATAAAAACTTACTTTAACGATGTTTTTCTAATTAAGGCTACTAAATAAATAGCATCTCATGTGTTTTTTCCTTAAAAGAACTCATTAAGTTTTTCATATTTAATATTAATAATTTCTAATCTTTTTAAAACTAAAATCTAACATAAGTAACTTTCTTATATATGAGCTTCAACTTCTTCGACAACAGTGTCTTAATATTTTTTGTTTACATTTTCCTGAGCGAGATAAACCGGGTGAAATGAAGTTATTCACTCGCGAAACCAGCTTCGCTTAAACTGATCGATCTCACTCAGGAAAATTTAAACAATAAACATTATGACACCGTTATTGATGAAATTGAAGCTCAGACATAGGAAAGTCAATTATGTTTGATTTAAGCTTAAACAAGATAAAAAATGATTAATATAAATATGAAAAATTTTGAGTTCTTTTATTGGGAAAAATACTTTAAACTTTATTTATTTAGTAACCTGAATTAGATAATATTGTTTTGTGTGTTTTTTTCTTCAATAGTCTATGAATTCAATAGTCTGCTTGCGCTTGCATTATTTTAGCCTCCTGCCTTTCCAAGACACTCAACAACAAAAAATTTATAGGCTTTTTTTCATACAGTAATAATTAAAAAATGTAAAAGAAGAAAATGTGAAGAAAACTGCTGATGATAATTAAAATTTATCATTTATATTAAAAAAAAATTTATGATATATGTGTGTTTTGGGATTATCAGCAAATCTGCTTATCTGTGCTAAGGGGGCCATTCCATTCTGCAGATAATCAGGACTTTACTGTATTTCTCTTTAATTTTCAGATTACGGAATGTTTAACATAGCACTTAGAAATAGCTAAATTACTTACCTTAATATTGTTTCCCTGCTGCCTATTCCAGTGTGCGATGCACTTAAAATAGCAATAAAAAAATTGCAGAACCGTGCGTAGTGCAATGCAACGCTTAGTAGCATAAAAGGTTACGTCAATCCCTTTAAATAAATTAATTAATAATAGTTAAATGAAAAGAACAAAATTCAAAATTTAGGTTGGTAGGTAACAAAATTGAACAATTGATTAGAATTGGCTTATTAACTAGAGCTTTATAAATTATCTGGAAATATTTTTAAAATAATGTGACAAGAGTGTGGCAAATTTTTAAAACTATTTGATCAAGTTACGGATGATCCTTTCCAAAAAAACTTAATTTGAAAAACAATTACTATTTTTCAATTAGTACAATAAAGAATTTAACTAGATTACTTTTTCCATATGAAGATTGAAGCAAAGTCAGTTGAAAAGTTGAACATTAGTTCAAACTTTATTTTTGTTTCATAAATATTTGGCTGTAACAGACCATAACTTTAACAAGTGCCCAATTGAAGTAGGCAGCATTCAGAGCCCTTGTCTTGTTTTTCTTGTCAGTTTTGGAAACTTCCTGAGACTATTTCTGAATTACAGAATATTAAGTCCAAAGTAAAACTTTCTGTAACATAGTCATTTTTTGTATGCAGTATATTTGAGTTTCATAAATAGGCTACACATTCCTGGAATATTTTTGAATACCCGCTCATCATCAGTAATAAAAGGCCATTTGTTCTGGACTATAAACTTAAGCAGTCTTTCTGAAGTACAATACTGATTAATAAAACGTAGACCCATGCTGAGCTGAGTATAATTGAAAAGGATGATTTAAAGGTGCACAGAAAATATAAAAGCAATAAATTTATCTGGAATATGAAAAAAAATTTCTAGACTAAAAGAATTAAGTAAACATTCAACAACTAAGCAGGCTACAGTTTTTTGCATCTATGCACAATTTACAGGGCCTAATATATATATTCAGCCTTTCATCCCTTCAGTGGGTCGATAAATGAGTACCAAGCATGCTTGGGAACTAAACACTGGGGGTTCCGCATTCGGCTGACCACCTGACCGGAACATCTGCTCCTGCACACCAGAGCCCAAGGTCAAGAAAACTGAGATGGGCACAGTAGGCCTTGGCCCTTTATGGGCTGTCGCGCCACTGAGAGAGAGAGTTTTTAACATATATATACAAAAAAAAAAATTTCAGTTCTGGATAAAATATGTTGGTTCATAACCATTTAAAAAATTTGCGCTTTAATAAGGAAATGAAAATAGTTACGAAACACATAAACAGTTTAAAATTTTTAGCCTAAAGCACTTATTGAATTTTACTTCTCGTCTTACTCATTATACAAAGTAAATATATCTCTAGTAAATCACCGCTATATTATTCAAAATACAGAAATATCACTGTCTCAACAAAAATCGTTGGCTGTACAAGAAATAAAACTTATTGGGCTTTATAACAGAACTCAATATTTCTAATTAGTTACAAAAGATTTAATTATATTCAATCTTAAAATTAAAATTTAGTATATCCACTTACCTGCTTTTCATGACACAGCCTTTTCATAAAATTGATGCTTTATAAAATAAATGATATACACATTTACTCCCTTTGTCTCAAAATGTAGTACGTGGCACAAAAACTTATTGAACTATTATGATAGCTTTAAAGATCCTAACATTGAAATTTCAGCAGACTCATATGTAAAGAATTTCAAATATAATTTCATTCTGAAGATGCCTCTATACTGAATTATCACAGCAATTGTTTTCCCAGATTGAGATAAACAATTTTATCATCTTTAGTATAAGTCACAGCGAAGCTAAAATTAGAAAAACTAATTCATGAGTAAAACAATGAGAAAATGTGAACATAAACAAATAGTATTTATTTTTCCATATGCATATTTGATTCCAGTTTTTTTTAAAAATTATATTAATTCCATTATTTCATTGGAAATGATAACACTTTAAACAAATTAGGTAAAAGTAATGATAAATATTGAATATACAGTACAGTACAGATACAAAACAAAGAATTTATCCAAAAAGCTAACTATACAATGCATTGGAATGAAAAAAAAAAATTTCCACCATATTTTTAAAATGAAGTCAAATATAATATGAATTATAAGATGTTTTATTCTTAACTTAAATAAATAAAATTGATGAAATTTAAATAATGGGTTAAATTTAAATATTGAGTTACCTTCTGACAAAAGTGGTGAGAAACTACATTTTATACTAATAAAATTTTATGATAGAAATTTTGTCCAGTATTACAGAATTAGTTTCAACATAAAAAAATCATCTTTAAATTACAATTTAACAAATTGTAGATTTATAATCAAATACAAATTATTAAATTTTAATCCTGGCAGATTTGGCATAATGGATTAATTATGGGTTTCAATATAGAGAATGTAGCAATAATCTCTAAAATAACATTGACTTTAGGCAATTTAGTTTGTTGATAACATTTTATGGAAAAGATACTTGATTCAACATACAGGATGAAGTTATTTCAGAGACAACATAAAATAAACAATAGGTTGAGAGAAAAATGAAAATTTGAAACACATTTTTAGAAGGCAGAGGCTGCGAACTAGCATCTTGGCATACCAACAGCTGGTAAGAGTAATCTTTTCCTAACTAAGATAATAAACATAAATTAGAAACATAGTAAGTATTAATAAATAATGCAATGCATCAAAAAGAAATAATTCTACAGCTTCTAAGGGGGAAACAGCAAGTTAATTAATAACATGTTGCTCATATAGACAAATTTTACACTACCAAAGAAAATAATGAAATTGATAGGATCAATCAACTGTGTTAAGAAGATTGCAATTATCACAAATTTAAAGGGACTAGAAAGTAATGTTTATTTTTCAGGGGTCTGTCCAGAAATTTAGCGAAAGGTCCGTTTTTGTAAAATTGTGAAAAAATTACTTGCCATTTGTGAATATAAAATAAACCTTAAGTCACATTCTTTCAACCAGAGTCCGCTTTTGTGAATTTGTGCAAATAGGGTCCGTTATTGCAAAAAAAAAATTTCTCAAGGAGTTTTTAAATTGTACAGACATACAAGATTATGCTCAACACTGTAAAATTATAATAAAAAAAATTAAATTTTAAATAATAAATAGCTATTGCTAGTACTATTTTAGAGATGCAACGTACGAATATTTTGTATTTAGCCTATACAGCTGAACGCAGAATATTCATTTCGGGCGAATAAGGGAAGGAGCTTCTGCCGAAGACAAAACTTAGTTCGTTTGCATTTGTCTTTCTCCCCCCTCCCTTCCTGGGAAGGATTTATTCGATTAACAAAATAATAATAAAGATAAACAAATTTGTGAAGCGTCCGATTAAAAGATAAATTATTTTGTGAAGGGTCCGTTTCTAAGTTAAAATATTTTGTGAAGGGTCCGTTTTTATGAAAAGGCATTTTGTGAAGGGTCCGTTAAAGGACCCAAATTTCTTCTAAACAGATCTCTGTTTTTGTAATAGGTTTTTCACTTCATTTTCCACAAAAAAAAAAAAGTATTTTTGATGATCTTCAAGGACCAAAATCAAAATTTTCAAGGACCTACTTAGTTATTGTTAGTAATCTATAATCAAACAGATTAAACAGATCAAACAGTTAGTATCAAACAGATTTTATTACATTGAAGCATATATTAAGCATCAATTTTACATTGTTTAATGGTTGTGGCAATATTTTAATATGTATGATCCACAGCTAAGAACGCAATCAGTTTGATTAGTTATATTGTGATTTAAATCAGTATGAAGATTGACATTAGCATACTTGCCAGCTTTTAATGACTGGCACCAGTAAAACTTTTCATGGGAAATTTAATAAAGTGTATCAGAATGATTCGAAAAATAATATTTAGCTTATCTGTTTCAATTTCAAAATACGATATCTTTTCATCAACTTAGAATATCAGTAATGCATTTTGAACATAATAAAATCTTTTGTAGAATATTTTGACAGATAACAAATTAAGATTTACCAAACTTTCTTTTCTTTAAAATAGATCAAACAAAATTTCTAGAGAATATCACAAACTCAAGCAGATGTTGAAATTCAGTCAATCATATTCTTTGATTGTAATGTGACACAATTACATAATCATTTTGCGATAATTATGAAAAACAATAATGTTTTCACAAAAATAAAAATCATGCAGTGGATTGATCGCTAAGACACGTTTTCCAGCAGATCACCCAAGTCAAGCATCACTGGCTGCGGTCAGTGTGCAGGTGGGCGACCACTTGGTTCAGCCTGCATAGGGACCGAGGGTGTGCGGGATTGGTCCTCGTTAAACTGTTCTATCGTAAAGTGCTCGACTTCGCGTGCAGGCCGTCAGGCTACCGAAGCGGGGATACCATCCACTCCGCAGAGTATCAAAATTGTGATGGCATGTCTTGGATCATCCTCAGGGATGTTTCCCAGACCGTCGCCAATAGCCCATTGTGCAGCTCTAGTGCGACGTAAATGAACAACAACAACATAAAAAAAAAATTTTTTAAAAACTAAATTTTTATATTTTTTAAAGAAAAAGTTAAGATGTTAATAATAATTTAATGTGGAAAACAAATCGAAAATAAATATTTATTAGAGTTTGGAAAATCAGTTCACTGATTTTTGTTCAAGACTAATTTCAGTCTTCAGGACTGAATAGCGGCAATTGTGTAAATAACATACATCAAAAATTACTAAATTTTCAGTATTGGAAAAGGAAAATATATTGAATTTCGGCTCGCCATTCTCTACAATTTGGAATAAAACTTTAATTTTCACGGGTTAGCAAGTAAAATTAAATTTCAAAAACTGTATGTTTCCAAATCAGTGCATGCTAGATATGGTTATGACAAGGCTAATACTAGACATGGTTTCCCCACACTCTGCTTGTAATTTGTAATCCAATCACAGGAAAGGGGTAAAAAAGGATAAGGGTTTTTTTTTCCTTCTAAATTTAGACCTGTCTCCAAGACTTCCATTTAAATGACCTTGAACTATTTTTTACAGTACAGAAAAGGAGAGGGTGTGATTAAAATTTCAATCGCTTTGCTTGAAGTTTCCTTCTCTCATGCTTTTTTTGAAGGAAAAATTATTACTATTTTGAAAATTAATCTAAGAAAATAAAAAACTTTTCAAGGACCTTATCCTGCAAATTCAAGGACTTTTCAGGGCCATGATTTTTTTTAAATGGTATAAATTTTAAACATCAGATGTACATACCAGAAAAACAACATACAAGAAATACATACTATTTACATTTTCAATGTTTATCCTAGGGGTGTACTGCAGGTTGTCTAATGAAGGGCTGTTCATATTTTTAGACATGTTGACAGCCAATTTAATTATATTTATTTAAACATTAGTATTCTAATTTTTTTTATCAATAATCTTTGTAATATTTTTGAAGAAAATTAAAGACGTTTAATTATTAGAATTTATTCAAAAAGGAAAAAACTAATACTTCTTTTTTAAAAGAAATATTTTTACATCGAAATAGATTTGTCAAAATAAAACAAAATAAATAAATAAACATAAAGAAAAGAAATCTTTTTTTCATACCAGCAATACAAAGTTTATTTTTAAAAATTTACTCAATATTGAGCCATTTTATATTGTACTTTATCCAAAAAGTTGTCTGTAAAATATATTGATCATATTTTTGTAACACCAATATCTTAAGTCAAATGCTTAAATAATGTTATTTGTTTTGAATTAGCAATATTATTTTAAGAGATATTCAGTATTCAAAAATGAATGTCACAAATGCAAAATTGCAAACTTTCTGGCTGCATATTCAACAGGAAAAAAAAAATAGATAAAATTCTTTTTCATATTTTCTTATTTGAAAGTAAAATATTTAAAGAATTCGAATTGAACCACTTGTTGTTTAAGTTTAGATCAGTTTATTGTTTAGTTTCTATAACTGGGCAATTCCTTGGTCTCAGACGTAAAAACTGAATATAAATTTCTCAGTAAAACTCTCTCATAAAACATAAGTTTATAATTATAAGATTTTTATATCAAATATTTAGTACATTAAAACCTAGCAAAAACAATTATCAAAACAAATTTTCTAAACAATTTCTTGCAAATTGGAGAAACAATAAACACTTATCTTTCAATAAAAAACAATTAATAACGAAGTATAATAGACGCTACATACTTTAGTAACTGTTCTACCTTAATTTAAAGTTGTAAAATCATATTCAATGTAAAATCAAATTAATGAATTTAGTTTTATATAATATATACATAATCCATGTCCTCTTATTAAATAGATAACTCTAATGGTGTGATCCAGTTTCTTTGAGTATCATTATATTCATATTTCATTTCAAAAAAATTTATTCATTGTTATAATAATAATTACACACTGGTAAAATTATTTTTGTTCATAGGTTTAATTTTGATTTATTACAAATATTTACTTTGTTAGGATTATTCTCAACTGATTCAATTTTTTATAAGTTTCTCTTTTTTGGGGGAGAACATATATAAATGATTTTTTTTAATGATTTAAAATTATTTTTAAATAAATTTCTCTTTATTAAAAAATAAATTTAAAAAAAGGGGGAGGTACCTTTATATGTTTAATTTTTCAAAATTTAAAAAATTTTCAAGTTGTTTATCAAATACCATTTTTTTAGTTTACTTTAAAAAAAAAAAAAAAATTACGCACAGAAATTGTGTTTAGCATGCCTTTAATTACTTTTATAAACTACAACTATTCCTCTTATTTTGATAATGAGTGGCAACTACTTTTTGAAATACAAATAAAATATTATAAAAAAGTAGTTTAAAGTTGTTGAGGAAAAAATTCAGTTATTAAAAAATACATATTTTCATAAATTTTTACAGCATTGAATGCTTTTTTTTGTAAGGAAGCACCCGGCACTTTTTAATGAATCCAATATTATAAAACATTATAATTAACTTTTTACACTACCAATAATTAAATAGGAAAAAAAATAACACAATTTAATAACTAACAATTAACACATTTTTAGGAAACAATTAACAGTGCTATGTGGGTCTCTGCCCCACTCCACCATAGGACTGATAGCATATTTTTAATTAATAATTAATTTTTAATTATTTTATTACGCAATTCAATTTTTTCACTATTTGCTTCTATTTGAAATGCTTGTACTATTAAATAAGAAATATCAGGTACAATAGTCAACTCAATCCCTGATTGTAATTATAGAGATTTTCCACCATTTAACTGATCGACCATATGAACTGACTGACTTTAAAATGAATAAATTTTAATTTTAAAAAAATCAAGCGGTTCCAGCAATTTTCGTTAAAACTACTGTTAGTGTCATTTATACTTTAAATTTTTTTTAAATAAAAAAACTGGCTTGTGTTATGTCTATAACATATTGGGTCTGTAACACCCTATTTTTACGTTTTTTTAAACCTAGAGAAATTAATAAAAATTGGATTAAATGAGAGCTAAAATTATTTTTATTAAAATTATAAAAACATTTCTGAAATTTTTTTTTTTTTCAAATTTGTAAATATAAGATTTTTAAATGGTGGTAAAGCAATCTGTAAAATCAAACTGAAATTAAAAAAAACTAAGAGTAAAACAACAGTATATGGAAATAAACAAAGAATCTCCTTTTACTCTTTATAACAACAGAATTAAACAGTACAGTGCCCGTTGCTTATAAAATCACCGGATAATAAAATCAGCCACTTTATAAAATCAAATCGGCAAGAACCGAATCGTTACAATAGTAATAAAAGTTAAAAACATCCTTTAAAAAAATCAATGCCGCCGCTTTTTAAAATCAAAATTTTGACTACATAATAAATCAAAAATGCAATATTTCAGGTTTTTTTGTTCTTATTTTTAAAATTTTATTTTTTCGAAGTTTAAAGTTCATGAAGTTTTGAGTTCATAGAAATCAATTTATCAATGTTAATTCCTTGACTTGGAGAAACCTATCACACTCAACAGGGGATCGAATTCTTATCTTACTTTTTATTGAATAAACCATAGAAGGGAGAGAAGTTTCTTTTGTTATCTACCTTAACAGAGAACATGAATAGATTTCCAAAAACTGTCTGTGCGCATGTTCCATATTATTTAAGCCGTTTGAGTAAATTATAGTTAGAGCACATATCATTTTTAAGTTCGTTTGGTGTTAAATTTTATCAACATGCAAACACAACAACAAATAATTAAATTAGTTAAAATAAAGCATTAATGTTGTCATTATTTCAGCTTTTAAAGAGTGTGCATTTAGAATATATCATAAAAATTTGATTTTTTTTTCAAATGTTGAATCGCCTCTTAATAAAATCAACCGCTTAATAAAATCAAAAGAGCATAAAACGAAATTGATTTTAATAAGGAAATATTACACATTTACAATTTAAATTTCAATTCTTACACACTTGTTTTCATGTGAAATTGGGAGGGAGGGTAAATTTCATTTGAAAAATTAGATTTTTCGGCGACCTAAACCCATGAATTTCGATGATTCTTTTTAAAAAATAGTTAAAATCATGACACTTCATGCCAAATTTTGTTAAATACCGAAATTCATGACTTTCAAGGTGCACAGATACCCTGTCAATATCGAGGTATAGCAGGACCAGGGTTCTATCCAGGCCAAATTTACTACCCTTTAGCGCCTATACCTTCACAAATTCAACTTTATAAAAATGGTAGTTTCACAAAATACTATTTCTTAACATTTTATTTTTGAATCCCGTAAGAAATACTAAATTCATATTTTTGTGTTGATTTTTTAACCCCTTAACAATCGGTTAATTTTCAAGACAACGGTCATAAAAGTGCCTATTTTTTTAGCTTTTGTATTTGTATTACGTATTTGATTAGTGTTGCAAATAGTTTAAAATAAACTAACTATCTACAATTACCTTAAAAATATCCTGGTACTGCCATCAGGTGCGTAAATTGAGAAATAAAATGTTTTCCGGGCAAAAAAAAGAAAAAAGAATTAGTTTTATTCTTATCGGCGCGTTACTACTGAACACTCCAGCCCGTCAATATCATGGGAGCATAAAATAGTGGGCGAAATCTCACAGGAGCGAGAAGGAAGGGGTTAATATGATATTTAATTTTTCACAGATTATATCTAAATTTTCACAAAACAGGTACCTCTCAGAATACACTAGACAGACCCCTTAGGACAATTTTCATACTCCCAAATTCTAATGCTTGCATATTTAAAAATATATTGTATAGATCTATATATAAGCCTATGTGTAAATAAAATCAAGAATACACCTTTTATTTGGAAATTTATAGAAAATTAAAAACTTATACGTAAGCCAACATAAAATAAGTCATTCTACATTTGGAAATAAAAATGTACAACACGCTAAAATGAAGGAGACCACCCCGAATTTTTTCGGCTTTCTGCAACAAAACTCTGAAGCATCAATATCTTTCTGCAAGAAACTTTCAATAATAACAAAGATATATCTTACAAAGTTAAAGTAATAAAAACACTGTGTTTACAAAAAAAAAAATTTTTATTCTAATATTATGAGAGATATTCTCACATTTTGTTGGGGAGAAAAACGCACTAATTATTTTTTTTTTATTGCATTTTGTAAATCAATATCACGTTAAAAAAATAATTAAAAATCATGAAATCTATAGCAGTAAATACCTATAAATACCAGACTCTTCAAAAGGGGTTACTCAAATGTGTGCTTAGTTTCAAGATTTGATTGTTGTAATAAAATTGAATTTTAAAAACTATATGGAAATAAAAAGCAACAATTGTAAAAAAAAAAAAACAAAAAAAAATAATTGAATTGTTGTCTTAAAAAGTAAATACTTGAATAAACGTCTCAAATTTCCTATATTGTCTGAAATATACCGGGATAATTAAAAACCACGTAAAAATCAATTGATATTATTAAGGGGGGAAAAAGATTATTTCAAGCCTTCTATTACAGAGATATATTTTTCATACAACTGGAGATTATCTTTATTAAGAAAAGATAAAACTAATCATAGAACTAATAGTTGCATAATTGTTAACAACTGCACACTAATTTTGTTTCTTTTTCATCAGATGTTAATACTATAAACAATAAATTATATAGAAGGAAAATACTAACAAACATTTTATATCACTTACAGATCAAACATTGTTGATGATAACTCCTATCGATTCCTGAGTTGGATTAGTAACATTAGCCCATAAAGATAAGCAATATTAAGTAGCAGCATATGATATCCAATCTTCCTGTCTAGAGCAATTTCAATATACCTGAAAATTAAATTTTAACTTTAAATTAAATTCTTTAAAAACAAACAAATATTTAAACCATCTAAGAGCTAGCAATTTAAAAATCTAGAAAAGCTTGCATGAAATATTTTAGCATTTAGATTATACATAGCAAGAAAAATATGGGTTACACAGTAAGATGTGCCTTCTATTATTCAAGCGTAAAAAGTAAATTTTTTCCTTGAATTTTTATACACAGATATTATAGGAAATTTATACATTTTTAGTGAAAATTTGTAAATACAGGTATGACTAATTCTTTTACTGCAGAAAGGATATATATATATATACAGTGAAACCTCCTTTTGTGAACACTCCTGCAAAATGGACGCCTCTCAATATGGACATATTTTTAATTCCCCAGGAATCTTCTATGAATAAACCATTGCGTGCATTCTCCGCAAAGCGGACACTCCCATAACCGGACGCGGACAGTCATTTTGGTCCTGAAGCATTATTTACTATCTCTTCAAATCAGACACTACCTTTTCTAAATTTGAAAAAAAAAAAAAAAAAAACTATTTCCGCTTTAAATTGCAAGGGAAAAAATTGCAACTTTTCGCTATTTTTAAAACACGTAAAATTTTTTGCCTTATCCATAACTAAAAGTATTGTTAAGCTATTTAACTACTGAAGAATCAATCTTTCTCCTGTCACCTTGCATTATCGTTGCAAAGAAAGGAGAGAAAATGATACTTCTGTCCTGAAATAATTCGGAGAGCGGCATGTTTTGATCTTTTCATCTGGACCACACAGGTAATGAGTCCCCTCAAGTTAAAATGATATCTTAAATGCTCTCAATGCTTCTTACCCATTGAAAATTTCTTTAATTTTCTTATGAAATTGACGACTGTATTTAACACAGTTGGGGTAAAAAAGAGAACAGAAATATAATCTCTGATGTGTTCATATAAATGAAACACTTATTTAGACACCTGATAGCTGTTGATTGTGAATAATCAGCTTTATAGGTCCTCATCTCATGACTTAACTGTGAATTGTGGGAGGTTTACTTTCGAGAAGGTATTAACCATGTTCCATATCAAATGATAGGTAGGTGTAAGGGGATGTAAACCTAATAATTGAAACCAACTGAGGACTGAAAGCTCCTATTCGGTATCATATGTTTGATTTAGTATCTATGCTAATAGGAAAATTATATTCATTTATGCTAAATTCAGAATTATGTATTTATTTTAAACTTCTTTATATATTCTTTTTTATATTTCTTAAAGTTTAAATAAATATCCTTGTAGATAGTTATTGCAAATTATTTAAGTATATCTTAATCTTTGAAAATATTCTAAAAACAATTAACAGTGTTAAACTTCGTTATTAGGGTACCCTTCCTGTAAGTGGACAACTCTCATAAACAGACAATTTTTTCGGTCCCGAGAATGGAGGTTTTACTGTATATATGTATAAATATATATATTAATTACAACATCATGACATAAAAAGTTTTTAGAACTCAACTAAATATTTAAAATTTGATCAGAATTCAACTACACATTTATGGTACATATTTTTTCTAATACAGCTATAATAATCAACTGCAAAATTGAATAGGGTAATAATTTAATGGTCATTTAGCATCATGCTAGATTCACCAACAATACTCATCATAATGGTTAAATAGTGAATATGTGTTTGCATGAGCAAGTTTGAGTGTTCACGGTGGCCAGTCCTCAGATAAACTATAATTCCCCGACATTTTAAAAAAACTAAAAATCTTTACAGAAAGTTACCATTCAAAATAGTGCTGTTTTTTTTAAATAATTAAATAAGTTAGGAATTTACAAATGTAAAGATTTTCTCTTAAATTCTATATTTATTTTCTATAGAAAATAGCTTTTCGAACCTAAAAAAATTTCATAGGAAACCAAAATTTTGGATTTAATAAATTTATAACTAGTTTTATAAAATGCTCCAAAAATAAATTACTGAACCAAACTGTTTATTATCCTAATGATTTTTATGAAATTTAAACTAAACAAAACAATAACTTGTTAAATGGAGTGTAGAAATAACTTATAAATTGATAAATAATAGTTAGTTAATGTTAGCCTAATTAGCTAAGTTCTTGAAAGATATAACTGAATAAAACATTTTAAATGCCTAATAAGAGATTGAAATTCACTTGCAATAAAGTTGCGAGTAATGCTAATAGTCTATGAATTTTCAGAGTTGATTGTGAATATTCCTGTTTTCCAGTAGTATGTTTAGATTTTCGAGAATTCCAAACCTGCTTTCAGAAACCTGTTTCCTTCCCGTGTTTTAACAGTGGCAAGCTTAATCTATTTTGTGCGGTATACTAATGAAATACTCATAAATTAGGGCATGGACGTTCTAAGCTGGGGGACAGTGGGTTTACACCCCTCTCAATAATTAGAAGTCAAATTTTACAGATTATCATCGATTTAAATTTCTTAAAACTAATAACTAGACAGAGATAAAAATAATTAATTTTTTGCAGGTATACAATTAGGAGTTCTTTTTCTTCCTATTTGTGAAATTTATTAAATTATTGTGACTGTGCAACTTAATTTCATCCCCTCAAAAAATGGATCTGTGTGGCACCCATGACATAGAAAGATAAGAGTCTAGAGTTTTTATTGTATACTTCTACCTGATTTCTTTTCAATATATAAGCAAAATGTGCAAAGGAATTGCATGTTTTATTAAGTTTTATAATACATCGAAGAATAAAAAAAAACTTCAGAAAACACATCAACATTTTTCTTTAATGAGTGGAAATTAAGGAATCAACAGTTAAAAATTTAAAAACATAAATATATTTTAATTCTTAATTAAAAGATTTAAAAATATATCTAGTAAAATTCTCAACATACTATCAATCAACATTGCTGAAACTTAGTTTTGCATAAAACAAAATGAAGTGTTATGCAAAATTGCTATGCAAATTTACTTTTTTACAATAGACTAAAATAAAGGTACAAACTATAAAGATGCCTTAAACTATAATATATATGTATGTAATAAAATTTATTAATTTTCTTCGTTTTTCACTTTTTCTTTTTGTCTTTATTGTAATGTTATAGTGATAATGCAGCTTGGCACTTTAAATTATCTACTTTTAACTTACTTCTGTTTTTATTTCATTCCGGTTATAATTCATTTTGTAATTTCATGTGTTTGGGGCGTTGTTCTAAGAGCCTATTTTTATGGATTTGAACAGTAATAATAATTTTATTAATTATATNTATGTATATATATATATATATATATTAGAAAAAATTACAAAAATAGGAAGAGTAGCATAAAAGAAAAAGGTAAAACAAAAACTTATTTTAAATTATGACCTACTATGAGAATATGTGTAATAAAGTACTCAACAGTTACCTTGTCTCAAAGTAGTCATTGAAAATGATCACCTCTTTCTTTCTACGTTTCATGGATCTAAAAAAGTGAACATAATTTCGTTAAAACTAAGTGCAGCATAATACTCATGAATTACCTGATGCCAACAAGATGCAACTCTTGAATGGTCTACGTGCAGCCAAAAGGATTATTGAGCCAAAAAAAAAAAAAAAAAAAAAAAAAAAAAAAAAAAAAAAAAAAAAAAAAAAAAAAAAAANAAAAAAAAAGAGAAAGAAAGAAAAAAAATAACATAACTTCCCTTATAAAATTAAATTGCAATCATACAAATTATTTATGAAAAAATTGTTTAACACTCATCATCAGTAAAACACATTAACTTTAATTTTTAGAAGCTGAAACCGCATTTTCGTTAGTTTCATTCAATTGAAATCAAGTGTGGCAAGGAAGATAAAAAATAAAATAAAAATTAATTAAAAAAAAAAGCTTTTGTTTTGATATTACTTTGAGATAAATATTCTATCTTATTTCAAAGAAAGAGTAGTAACCATAGAGAAATTTTAAAATCAAGTAATATTTATTTATTACATTTATTAGATAAAAAAAAAAGTGTGTCATTACATTAAAAACAAATACAAGACTAGGGATTAAGAATTTAAATCCCTAAAATTACGTGAAGAGTGCATTACGGGAAACTCACCTGTCAATGCCATAGTTGGAACCAATAATTATAATTTGTGTACTTGTAGAATAAATAGTATTTATAAAACAAAATATTCAAAATTTCATTTTTTCTTAACAATGTCCGTTAAATCTTTATATTTTACACCATAATGACAAAAATCTAAGTTTGAAGTTAGAAATTTATAACTAATAAATAAAGTGCCTTTAAGCTCAGATTTTTAGTTAATTTTATGTTTTCTAATATTTGGTATCTAACTTGAGAAGGCAGGTAGGAATGTGCAAGTAATTTATAATGGAGAAGTCCTTCTAAAGACTAGAGATGAGACAGACTCAGCCTGAGCCAGGATTGTTTACTGAAAGAAGATTTTAAGCTAGGATCCTTGGCAAAATTTTTATAAAATTTTTGCGATTTTTAAACAAGCATATTGAATATAAAAAAATTTAAACTTTATAACGCATAAAAATTTCAGCTACCTGCTTCTTTTGATTGGTCCTTTTGCTTTCTAAGGCTAGCGCTAACAGTAAAATGACTTTTAACTTAATAGTTTTACTTTCTTTTATAATTTTTGTTTCAGTCTACTTGGAATTTTTATTGGCTCAGAGTACACAAAATTGGCCCTTTATAAAACATATATCTCAGACTCAGGTTAAGTAATTTCATGCTTCTCACGCTCGAGTGTGCACAGATTAAAATTCTTTGGGCTCCAGCCCCCAAAAGTGAGCAAAACTTTTATTGCACTGCCACTAGAAAAAACTTTTAAATAAGTGCAAGTGTTGACAGCTAAGAAATAAGTAGGATTTGTCAAATATAATTTCAATAAGCAATCATATTTTCAAAAAGCTGATTTATAATAAAATCCAGTTTACTAACAGCAATGGAAATAAATTTGTTTCTATAATAAAATTATATTACTTTGTTGCTTATATTTTCAAAACACAGTAATTTTTTCCACCAACATATTGCTCATTTAATGATTATATACTGAATTACTTTAGTCAATGAATAAAATAATCAATGAACAAAAAAAAATTTTCTATTTGCAAGATGAAGACATAATTTTTCACAATCCTACAAACAAATAATTTGGTAATCGGCAAATCCTGTCAGATATTAGAATGTAAATTTAGAATCTGCTGAGAATCTATATAATGAAAGGAGAAAATTTGACATCCGATGAATCCAAATGATGTAAAAAAAGAAAGAAAAATTGCACAGATTTCTTGTCAACCTTTCAGATTACTATAATAAAAAATAAAAATTTTAATTGCTCTAGTTAAAATTAATTGCTCTAATTAAATTAAACTAATTTGAAATTTAAAAAGAGGTCTAATTTTTTTTTTTAAATCTTCAATATCATAAGAGTACAAAGATAAAAGTTTTAATTTTACTACTATTAATTCTTCTAAAATCCAAAAAAAATTATATTTTAAAATTTATGAGACCACTTAGAAACATCAAAGTAAGTTTCTAAAAAAAAAAAATTCCTAACTGTGATGTAAAATATTCCCATCAACAAAATTTTGGTGTTAGATTTATTTTTCGAAAAAACTTGCAAAATATATTGTCATGTAATAGCTATTAAGTTATGACATTGAAAAGCATATTCAGCAAATATTTTCTGAAGTAGTAGTGATGGCGGCAGTAGCTTTCTTTTAATATGAGAGATAATAAAAAAATACTTCCACTAGCTAAACATTAAACTTTGTGTTGCAGTCTTTGAATCATAGAAATTTTTATGTATTTAAGAATTAAAATAAGCTTCCTCAGTATGTAATAAAATTTACATGTTTTTCTTTCATAATTCGTCTGTATTACTATAACCAAACTATATTTTCATATTTTGAATTTTTTTTTTTTTGTTACACTTTTTGAATTTCTCTTATTCATAAAAAAAAGACAAGGGAACTTATGAAGATGAACTACTTGGTGTCATAGCTCTCTTGCTAATGAAACTGACTCGTTTATATTCAAAAATAAGAGCTCCTTGTGATTTTCAGAGGAAAATATAAGAATTTTAAAATGGATGCCTGATATGAGATACTTGTAGATTGTTTTAATCTTCATTTAAGATTTTTTAAAGAAGGTGTAATATTTAACAATTTTATTTGTTTTCCGAAAAAAAAAAAAAAAAAAAAAAAAAAAAAAAAAGGAGAAAGAGAGAGATGAAATTTTGTAAATATGCCGAATGGCCAATCATAATTTGGTAAAATAGTAAAAATCTTTGGGTGGTCACACCGATTTTCTGTGACCTCCCGTCCCGAAGTCCCTGGTTATTTCATTACTTGTTAACGAAACTGTTGCAAAACCATAGAAAACTTCATTTGCGTATACAATATAAAATCACTCACTTATATGAGGAAAGTCTATTATTAATCAGGAAATTAAAAAATTTCCTATTCAGAATTGTTCGATTTACTCTGGAAGAAGCACATTTAGTCATCTGCGGTCTGATTCAGTAGCACTGACATTCTGATAGTTTAAAATGAAAACATCCAAACTTACAGCACAAAAAAAAAAAAAATCTGATTTCAGATTGGAACACAAAACTAAAATATTTACCTTTTTTCTCATGAGCTAATAAATCATAAGGCATTTGAAAAATATTTCTAACTATACACTTAATAATACTATTATTGTCTAAAAAATAATTAGCAATGCTCAGGGTGCTACAATCTGGAGAAAGAAATTTTTTAAAAAATGTCATCACATACTTTATTTTACCTCCAGTACCTAAGAGTTACTAATTTTAAGTGAACAGATAAATCTGCGGAATTTTTCGGCATATTGTTCAAAACATCACCAAAATAAAGCAAAGGCATCAAAGCATACCATTATTGATCAAGAAACTTGGAGAAAGAATTTTTAAAAAAATTTATCACATACATTATTATTTGATGGCCGGCTATAAAAGATTGCTGATTTTATGAAAGAAAATTAAACTGCATAATTTTTACCTAATTATTTCTAAACATCACCAACAAAGAGACATTAAAGCAGACCATTTTTTCAATGATAAATAATAAATAAAGCTTAAGTTACTACAAACTGGAAAAAGAATAATTAAAATCATTACATACATTATTATTTTTCCTTCAATGTCAAATAGCTACCTTTTTTAAGAATTCATGATTGATACTGACACAGAGATAAAGAGCATCAAAGCAATGACTCAGAAACATTAAAGCAAACCATTTTTGCTTTAATAATAATAATAAACAAAATTTTAGTTGCAACAAACTGGAGGAAAAAAAATTATCACATACATTATTTATTTACTTCCAGCATCAAATAGTTATTGATTGTATGAAAGAAAATTAAACTAACTGTGCATTTTTTTGTTAATCACCACTGACACAAAGACCTAGATTATTAACAAAATAATGTTATATTAGTTGTGTATATTCAGACCATACTGAAACATCAATGCGGACTTGACTTAACAGAGCTCACAAGAAACTCTACTTACTAAATAGAAATTTATCAGCAATTTACAACATTCATACTTAAACTGAACACATATTTCACCACAATAAGACAAGTTTCTGTATTTACAGTAGAGAACCGATCATCCGGAACGATCGGGACCATCGCGATTCCGGATAACTGATTTTTCCGGTTTTCTGAATCGCTACAAAATGCCATTTTTTTAATGTTTATAAAACGAAACTAAAAATTTTTTTTCAAATAGTTTTAGAAATAATAAAAAATGATATATAATAATACAGTAAAGTTTAAATAAGGAAAGAAATTATGAAATAAAAATTATATACAGGCTTATATATGTTATTAATGTTATTATTAACATTAATAACATATATATGTTACTAACATATATATGATACGCCGTATGCTCTAAATAACAAAATGGGCTCAAAATCTTGCAGGGGGAAAAAAAATTTTTAATGGAAGAAAATTAATTTCCAGTTCCGAATTTCATTCCGGTTACCTGGCTTTCCGGATAAGAGATTCTGCACTGTATTATTACTTTTGAGCTTTCTACATTCTGTATTACCTTTGTGTTCAGCTAGAACATATTCAATCAAGATAGCAAAAGTTTTAAAGTCTTTCAAGATAGGTAGCACAAGTATGTTGGTTATGCAAAGTATTAAAAATCTCCAAGGGTATTCTATGGGTAGTTATATTTAGTTACTATGGGTACAACACTAATAATAACTTTATTCCTTTGTGAGGAATAAAAGTATTTAACATATTTTACCTTGATTAGGTGAGTTTGTGAATATGTCTTATTACCTTTCTGATTAACTAGAACATGTTCCAACAAAATAGCACAAGTTCAACTTCTAAAGTCATTCAAGAAAACTACCATGGATACGATAAGACAAAGTAAACTTATGAAAATCTCTAACTAGAGAACCTTGAGCTAAAGAAGGGTATTCGAAAATTTAACCTACAGCAATTTTGTACACAGAATATGTACATCACAGAAGTATGAACGGCTAAATAACTAAGCCATAAAAAACTTTTCGAAAATTAACTTAATCACTTCAAATTAAATATTCAAGTCTCCAAAACTATTATCGAATGCAG